GGAACAAATAAAGCTACAACTAACGTTACAGAGTGTTTTTATGAGAAAATTGGACAAGGAATCTTAATATGAATTTATTATTTTCTTACAGTGTTGCCAAATATTTTATATTTGCTTTTAAAAACTTAAAACGGCATTTTCAATTGGCAACAATTAAGCAATGAGTCCGATAATGACCATGTATCAGAATCCTAGTCTCAACCACTTCAAATAGATGAAGATGAAGACTAACTAACTCATTTTTCCTTGTTTCAAGATCATCCTCGGTCCAGGCAACCCGAGCACTTATCACTATTAACATGGCATAAAAAGAATGAAGGACTAAGATATGTTCCTTTGATTACTGAAAAATACTGTTCCCCTAGTTTGAAGTAGTTAGGACTAGGAATCGGTGGTAGATCATACATCCCGTAACGTACCACGAAAAGGTGATCTACCCACGTTACGGGGCTAAATTCAAGTTACATTATTCTGAGCTCATCGCCAAAGCTAACAAACAACTCGAGATTATCTTCAGGATTGCCGATGAATTCCGTGATCCAACTTGTCTGAATACCCTGTACTGTTCCCAAGTAACAACAAAGAGTCATGATTTTCTTAACAGTCGGAAGTAGGTTCGGATGGTGGAAGTCTGGCAACACAATACATTAGAACGTAGACACACTATCGCTCAGGCTTCGTAGCTAAAGTATTTTTGGGTGGTGGCGAATCGCCTAGTATGCTAGGAAAACTAGAAAGGTATGCTCCAGAGAGACCATTGCGAACAAGGAATTTGCTACATCTTGGTGCGCGCGCAGCAAAATTATTACCTTAATTCGGGGGCAAATTGATGAAACTGATCATTATGGATAGCGGTTTTAGTTGTCACTTAGAACATTTTCGGTGAAATACATCAAGATAAATTCTGATAACATTTTATCATAAGACTCCAATGATTGCTTTGACGAGTTTCTCATAACAAAAAAGAAGATTTTACTGCACGATTTTCAATTTTATTTAATTGACGTTCAATAGCATTCAAATAAACGGTCATAGGTTTGAAACGGTTGTTGTCATTGGGCCTTATTACGGGTGTCACTACACGGTGATAAGGAAGTGATACTCATAATAAGAGCCGTGATTGCCGTATAAATCAAATGGGAATCACTTCACCGTGACGACAAGTGACAAGTTTTCACCGTGAAGTGACATCCGTAATAAGCCCCATTGTCTTTAAAGTGGTATGTGTGGTATTAAACTATGTGTCAATGGAACTGAATTATTTGGAGAAATCAATGTTTTATTATTATTATTTTTAAAGTCACTTTAACGCTCTTGGGTCATTAGTGACTTGTCTGGGGGTGAGATTTGAACTTGTGACTTTGACGTGAGAGCTATGCATTCTAATCACTACGCCGGGGTCGCTCCCAGAAATCAATGGTTTTCTGTGAAAATTACGGTGATTTTTAAAGAAATTGTCTACTTTTAGGCGCAACTATTAATTTTATGAATCTGTTTTTGTAATTTCTGGTGAAGATGCACTTCGCACAAGGATTTTGGCATCTGATTCGGATTCAGGGAACCCATATCTAATAATAACATTTACTAGAAATTTATTCAAATGTAATTTAAGGGGTTGATCAATTTCAATATTTTGTAATTTGATATTTCGATATTTTTGAAATCCAAATTTGAAAATAATAAAAATAAACAAGACAGTCAATATAATAAGTAATCATGCAGAATGATAAAGACCTCATAGTTACTGATTTTAATGCCATTAGTCTGTCAATTTCGTTTAATGCAGAAATTTATTTCTCTATTTACATTATTAAGCGATCAACTTGCCCCTGGATTACGGTACCAGCACGATCCACGACTCCTTCGATTTCAACATTTCTACGGTTGCTTTTCGTAACCAAATTCAACAGAGTCCGCACGATAGATGAACTGAACTGAAAATGAAACGCCAAATGACGTTTATTTTGGACATATTTTTGCAAAAATTAGGCCATTTTGGATCTTGTGAAATTTTAAAAATGGCGTCATTGAATTTTTTTAATATTTTTTTTTTCTGGAAAAACATACCTACCAAATTAAAAAAAAATCCTAAATGTCGCAAATTTTTTTTTTTTAAATCTCATGAAAAATGAAAACTCTTAGAATATTTAAAATTATGGACATTTAAAAATTCACAAAAATCGTACAACACGAAGCTTCAGTCAAGTTTTTGAACTTTTCGTTATTTTGCTTGGAACTGCTCAAAAGGTGAGTAACATTTCATTGTATAACTCTGATTTTGATAACTCTTTAGTGGCAATGACACTGATAAAGACTGCACATTAGACTGATGCAAAATTTGACTTTTTCGCTCCACAGTGCTTAAATGGTTTCAAATCGGGTCCTGATTAGTCTCCCAAAGTTACAACTCATTTGGTTAGAAACAGACTTCGCACAAGCCATTCGAAGTTTGCATGTAAATTACTATGGGAAATCTCAACTTTTTGTTCATTGCCATCTATACTTTTTCCATATTGAGCTGCAAAACAGTTCGATAGCCATTCTTATAGAAAATTTTCTCAGCTACAACTTTGCTGAAAATTGTTTCTATGTAAAACGAGACAGCAAAATGTTATTAATTATTTAAGAGATTGGTAAACTTATGACATGATCAAGCAGCTACTCAGTACGCAACACTGTATTTTGCAGTGTGACATAGTAGCCATGATTTTTGTGTCCTATTCAACGCCCCAGAAACACCAATGTTGCCTGCTGAGCAGTTGATTGAGCATGATCATAAGACATCAGCGCATTGAATCATTGATAACTTTCGATCCTTGCATTCAATAAAAAAGTGGTCTTCAGCAAAGTTGTAGCTGGAAAAATTTCCTACAAGTACAGTTGAAAGTTTTTGAAGCAGACCGATATGATGAATTATTAGATAGACATGAACAAAAATCTTGGTTTTACCATAGTAATTCCCATACAAACTTCAAATTGTTTGTGCCATCTCAGTCTCTCAACAAATGGGTTCAAACTTTGAGAGGTTAGTCAGGATCCGATTTGGAATCGTTTAAGTATTGTGGAGCGAAAATTTCAAATTTTGCATCACTCTACTGCACATTGTAGTCGAAATTCGTACCTGTCGTGGATACCAAAATCAATAAAGTGTAATTAAATGGAAGATAACCTTTTGTGCTGTTTTATTTTCGCATTCCGCTAACAACTCAATTTCATTACTTTATTCCAGCTTTCAAGCTTAAGAATTGCTACCTGTATCTTTTTTCGTGTTCTTCGTATTCCTCTTGACGAAGTGGTTTGCTTCCAACGATGGGCAATGCCAATTATATTTTTGTATGCTTTGTATGCAGTTTATTTAATTTGTTTCTTAATTTGTTCAGAATTTCGTAAAAAATTGGTAGTTTTGTTACTTATCGCAAATTACTAGACCCGCATTTTTTTAGGATGTCATTAGGGTGACCATTTTTTTTAAATTCATAGCTTTTGAACCACTGGGCCGATGTGAAAATATGTGGTGTTTTACGCCAGTTTGCCTTTTCTTCATCCAATATCCAAAATAAATTAACAGTAATAACCCCAGGGAGCTACGTGCTTGGCGATGCTGTGTTAGCGTTTTAAAAAGTATCGCCATGCATTTTGCACCCAGATTCTGTAATGTGGTCGCCGGAAGCTTATTATATATTTTTTTAATTTTTATATGGGCTTATTTTTCGAGCTAAGTTTGTTTCTCCAAATGCATTGCATCTCGTGAAGGTCTTATACAAAAATACGCATTCTGGAAGAACTTGCTTGTACGCTGCAGAAACTTTCCTACCATTTGCCTGAAACTAACGGCTAAAGCGCATACATTTTTGTCTTCCTAAATGCGGCTTTCAGACCATTTTATAATGTTGTTGGGTTACTAATGATTCGCAATCATCGAATTTGTGTCTTTTCGAGTCCGCATATTATTTTAGACTTGACAAAAATCCACAAGTAATCCGCTCATTCTCACATAATATTGATGAAATATAAAAGACCAAAATCATTAGCGAAAATTACATAAAGCGTTTGGATTAGAATCATAAGAACCAACCTGCAATGATTGATTATCTTCATTGATTTTAAGATTTCTTAATAGCTCGCCTGGTATAAACTTTCTCTGTGCATTTGCTGTTATTTTTGCTAGTTAATACAACCATTACAATAATTTAAAAACACGCTGGAAAAATCTAGGAAATTATTTAACTTCCTGTAGTAATTCAGATAGTGAATCGATCACCGCAGTTAAGCCCTTATAATTCTAAAAGCTAGGCCTGTGCGTTGCGCTATTTGCTTCAAGTTCAATTCTCATTGGAAATAAGTAACACTGCGGCATATGTCTTGCTGTGAATGATTTTTTTTTTAATTACACATGAGAATTTTGTACAATTGATTGAGAAAATTAAACACTGATCATATCATATTAAAACTTATAAAATTATAGTAAAACTTCTAAAATGTATTGGGGCCTTTAAAATTCAGGAGCCTAGTGTCATGCCCAACACCCCAGCCCTCACCCCTCGTAAATTCGGGTCTGCAGTCACCACATTAGCGAAAGGGTAAGCCCAATCCAACGCTACTGAATATATCCGCTAAGCGCATCTCTGTCTATTTGTGTATTTCGCACTTTGTTTGGTATTTGAGCGCGAATTTTTCCCCCTTGTCCGCGGGGCGGTAGCAATAAAAACAAAAATAACAAACACCGCCAACAATAATGATTTGCAGCTACGCTTTCCCGTGAACACATGGTATATTCTCGCTTGATGTGTTTGTTTACATAAATTCGATTTGACGAGAGAGTCGTCATGGTGAGTGCTGAAAACGTGCTCAAAAAGGATCCTGCGAGTTCGAGGAGAAAAAGGTGAGAATGAGCAGCGATGTCCGGTGCTCATGATGAGAGGTGATGAACTCGCGGTTTCGTGAGAAAATGATTAATGCATTTGTGGTTTCCTATGACTGAAGCGAAATTTTCAATTTACCTAGTGGGATTATAATCCAATGCTTTTTATCCATTTTTCTTTGGTAATATTCTATTTGCTGCCTATCGATGTGAAAGATGATATCCTGCAGAAATTGTGATATTTCAGAAGACTTTGGTTATCCTTTTTTCTCGAAGAGTTTCTCCTTCTTTCTTGTGGTGTCTTGTTGACAGTAGACAATATTCACAGCACCAATTTATCAGTTGATTCCTTCGGCGAATCAATTTTCCGATTTTTCATACAGCAAATCGGCCATCACTTTGTTCCATTCGCTTGGATATTTTTTGGTTTTCTATTTGTTACGGACTACTTTTGTCACTGTGGCTGTGTAGATAGATACATATGTATACATATATTGCACTTATTATGAAAAAAACACTGATATTCCCTTCCAGCATAAGATTCGACAAACTCAAACCATCGCCAATCGATAATTATGAATTATGGAAACATGCTCAGTATCATTCATAACAAAATTTCCAAATTCATAGATCAGCATATTCAAGTGAAAATCACTGCTGCACGTTCCTCCTGCTGGTGACCATCGATGTCTCGATGTGTTTCACTTTTCCGTAACCATGTGTGAGTGGATGGTTTCAGGTGCTGCACGAAATGTCACTTCGATTTTTCATCTGCCGAACCAAGGAAATTTTTCCCCTTCTGTTGCTTGAAGGAAATATCATGCACTTTGCACTTTTGATTTCGATACCACCTTATCTGCAAATCGACTTTCAACACAACAGAGACCATTTAAAACACTTGATGAAAGCCGCTGACCGCATACTTCAGATTTTTCACATCCAACCTTCAACATCCGCAATGCGACATTAGAGCAGCAAATTTTTCCTTGCGACTTTTCGTCACCAAGGGTTGGTGCGAATTTTCACTATCCTTCGTTTACTTGTGTGATTCTTCGGAAAATCGTTTTTTTCGTTCTTCACGGCACTATCCCGAATTCACGTTGCTAGCAGCTGACCATAGCGGATAAAATTTAAAATTTTCCAAACGTCAGAGTAGAAAAAGAAAGAACCATAAGTGTGGCAGGTTTCTTCTTATTATTCCGCTATTGAACTAGAAGTGCCTCTAGAGCAGTGTTAAGAGCAGCCGATTTTTCAGCTAGGTCAGCACCAGTGAACAGCAGCGACGAGAGTGACGACGTTTTGATGTAGACCCAGATCAGAAATATGCTTCTGCCGTTCATGGGTTTTCGCGAAAGAGCGACTCCATTCTCTCGATCTATCGATTTTGCGAGTGCGCTCGAGTTGTCATCATTCACGAGTGGTTGTAGGTAGTGAGAAGCGGAATGCTTTGCATCGGCCAGTCAGTTGTTGTGCATGCGATGGTAGGATGTAGTTTTATGTCACTGATGAGACGGGCGACAGACGACTGTGTGATCTGGTGAGATTGTTGGGAAATCTAACGGTGTGTGAGTGGATGTTTTCCGCACGTCGGAAAACTGCGTGTTGTTTTTGCTCTTTTTGCTATATTACGAATTTTCGCAACGAAGTCACATGCTGCATTGGTGCTTATAAAATAGGAAATTAAGATGTTCCTAAATAGCACATAAAACTTATTGAAATGCTGGAGACGCATGGTATTTGGTTGTGAGTCGTGGAAAGTGGGTGGAAATGCACTATTTGGTTTATTCTATTCTCAAATTAAATTTATAAATTAATTAATCGGAGCAGACTGGAATCGAACCATAAACGTTTAAATTACACACCGATGCAAAAGAACGTAAGAGCTCCGTAAAAAACTTATGAGTTTTAGCCACCGATGAAATGAATTTCATAGATTTGTCTTATGAAAAATAATGTCGACAAAAAAATAATCAAACGGAGCAGACTGCAACCGAACCATTGACGTTTAGATGACGGGTCCTGTGCCTGTACCACTCGTCTGTTAACGTTTGGAAAAAAAGGAAAGGCTAAAGGCGTATAAGAGCTACCTTATTTTTAACGAAAATCTTTCGTAAGTCGCGCTAATGAAATTCATATGTGTCTTTCATAAGTCGAGCCTTATGAAATTCTTAAGTCTATTTGCCTCAGTGCAGGGCCAGTGTGTTGATCAGTCGTCTTTCAACGCTTGGGGAAATGCAATGTTTAAAGGCGTATAAGTGCTACCTGATTGTTGGAGTTTCTCATATTTGTACATAGATATTAAGATCATTTGAGGTCAAATCTCTTGACCCAAACGACCCGTTCCAAATGACACAGTTTGTTTCATTGACTTGTCTAAATGGTTAACCAGCCAAAGAGCGAGAGAGTTGAGCATGACCGATAGGTAGCCGATGGTCATCACTCGAATTCGTGTAAATATCCATAAAACCAACAACATGAGATACCGAAGCAGTATCAAAATACAAGCTAAAGTAAGCAGAAGCACACCGTGTCTACGTCAGTTTTTTTTTTCCTATGGTCGTTCGATGACTCCAAAATCGGTCTAAGTGTTGAGAACAACGATCAACTTTAAATTTCGGCGTGTGGTGATCGTTTTCATTACAGTGTGAAAACTGCTAAGTTCCTCCGCAAAACAGGACTTAGAGGATTATTTGTGTTTGGAAGTTGTTTTTCGCGACCACGAAAGTCAGGGTTGTCTTCGACGCGTCATGCAAGACTTCGTCGGGCTATTCCTTGAACGACACTCTGCTTTTTGGACCTGTTGTTCAGCAAGATCCCTACTCGAGAAGATGTATTGACAAGTGCTGCATCATCTGATCGACCTAGTATTCCTCCGCATACGATATCGTAGAAGTCCTACCGATCCAATCGCCACATAAGAACTACAGACTGTCACCTACGGAACAGCAATCGCTCCTTATTTGGCAACGAAGACACTTCAGCAGATCGCGAAGGATCATGAGCATTTGTATCCCGCTGCAGTCAACTCGGTTGTTAAAGATTTCTACGTTGACGATCTTTTGTCTGGAGCATCGGATGTGGAAGCTGCGATTAGTCTCCGCCGAGAAATCACTGCCATGCTCAGTTCCGCTGGGTTCATGCTGAAGAAGTGGGCGTCAAATGCCCATGAAGTGCTAGAGGATGTTCCGCCAGAGGATCTTGCAATTAAGCCTATCCATGATCTACAGGATGAGCAGGGCCAGCGAAGTAAGTCCTTCGACTAACGGCACGGCGAGTATCGTCATCACTGATGTTAGACGAAGATCATTCATAAGTCACGCTTATGAATTCATATGTGTCGTTCATAAGTCGAGCCTTTTGATATTCTCAAGTTTATTTGCCTTAGTGCAATCAATGTAGATATGACTTATTGAAATGGGCATTTTGTAATAAAGGGTGTATTCGATAACATTGGCATGCACATAAACAGCTGTAATTTTTTAACTATTATACTAAATAACTTTTATTTTTCAGAGAAGATTATTTAGAAAGTACTGAACAAGTAAAAAATATGTCCTGATTATGGAGGCGAACCAGCATCAGGCTGAAAGCCTCCTGAATAAAGATAAATCAATCAATCAATTTTGTCATGATTAAAACACGAGCTTTGAACTAAGTTTTAATCAATGTTGACTTACAATTTTTTACAGTGGCAAAAAGCTACATTTTGTTTATTTTTACATATTTTTTTCCATTCCTTTTTCAATTTATTAACGGATTATGAATCTTTCAAGTGTGATAGAAAATCCTGTTTTTGTAATTTCTGACCACTGCACAATATTTGGCAAAAAAAATCGGTTGGTTTCCATGAGTCATTAGCAACAATGACGAAAAAATTTCCATGTAATAATAAAAAGTAATAGTAAAAAGTTACAGCTATTTGTGTGTGTGCCATTTTTATCAAATACACCCTTTACTCATGGTTTGCATGTACCATAAGTCTACACCGAAAAAAGTTTTCATTTAGTTTCCATTGGGAACGCACATGATATTTTTCCAATAACAAAATTAATGATTTTTATCTGAAATTCACATAACATTCATATGATCACATGAATTCTATATGATAAATCACATAAATTTCATTGGACACATAAGGTTCATGTGATTTTGTAGTACGATTCCCAATTATGAGATCACATGAAAGTTATGTGAAATTCTAATGGATATTTTCAATTGGAAATGTGATTTATTTTTTGAGTGTACCAATTACCGCTCATGCTCCAATTTCCACTCACTAGTGTAAAACGCCGACTTTTCAAGTTCTAATCGTATAAGGTGGTCAGTGAATCGGGTGTACTGGTGAACTGAAGCCGTTGTGTCACGAGTGATGTGTGATGGAAAGAGGTCGCAGTCCTTTTTTCTCTGCTGAGATTCCTCTAGTCATAGCAGCTAGAATGTGTTTAGTGATTTTTGGGGGGTTTCCGCTTAATACTTCCACTGGTTTTAAAACGAGCAGTACCTCCGTGTGGCATGCTCGCTGATCTCATACATGCCTGTATGACTGTACAACCTCATATAGAGAGCGATTGCTGTAGAACATGACGTCTTAGGGCAAAAATATATTCAAGGCTTTAACTCAAGAGACCATCTTCATCTTTGCATTTTGTTACGCTCCCACTGGGACTTTACGCCGGCTCTCAACTTTAGTTCTTTGAGCACCTCCACAGTTGAGAGCTTTCTAAGTCTGTACCATATTTGCATTAGTATTATTATGTGGCAAGCGTATACAATAAGGTGGGTCAAGTTTATATGGCGGATCACAATACCCGGCTCCCCATAGTTCTTTCAATTCATATTGAGGTCCCCAGGAACTGTGGCAACTTGTGAATTAATTCGGTTACGATGCGGGAGCGCTTTAAAATTTGTATGGAAAAATGTATGGAAAACGAAACAAAACTAATCATTTGTCAAAATTTAAAAAATTACTCAACTTAGATTGAGAAAAATTTACAGAACAACTTCGTGTAAGACCGAAAATCGATTCGACGGCTGTGCAAAAAGTTTTTATTTTCTTACTGTCGGCCTAGTGCTCTGTCTATAATTACAAGCTTATATGCACAACAATTGGTGTGCGAAGCGCTATGGCCATGTTCTAAAAAAATAACTTTCTGCACAGAAGTCGAATAGATTCTTGGTCTTCGACGAAGTTGTTCTGCATAGTTTTTTTATTTAAGTCCCAGGATTGGTAAAAATTGACTGGGTTTTGATTTTTTGACAAGCAACTGAACAGTTTCGGTCCGTTTCCCATACATTTTCCATACAAACTATAAAGCTATCCCGCAAATCCAGATCGTAACCAAATTCGTTGAAATTTGGCACAGTTGTTGGGGACCTCCACAAGAATGGAAAGAACAGTGGAGACCAGTGGGTTATAAAGAATACCCACCCTAATGTACAAGCATACGGCCATACTCTATATCGATGAATGTGTAACCGTTTGCAAGATTTATAATATTTTTAATTTGTGCATAATTGTTTAATGTACTGTCACGTTTTTATAAGTTAATAATAAGTAGGATTTATGAAATATTATGTATTAAAATATTGTTAAATTGTTCAAACTTTAAAATGTACAACAGTAAAATGGAGAGAGGTTACAGCACAGTGGGTGCAACTACTACAAGGAGATGCAGGTGGGAAAATGGAGAAAGGATTTTTGGATTGGGATATAGGATGGAGGGATGGAAAAGCGAACGGACAAAGGTCAGATAGCCCTCGGATTACCTGCCGTTCCTCATAACTGACCAGGCGTTCGCATGTGAAAGGTGTCAAAAAGTTAAAGTGCTTAAAATAGCCAAACAATAAGTGATTGGTACTACTGAATTCGAGTGTGACGATTTGCTGCACCACAGCTCAATTCAGGACATTTTGTGTTACCGTTTTGATAGACACCGCCATTTTGTCCGTTGACAAGATCAACCGACTCGCACGTGATCCGGCTTCGCAGTCCCTTGGGGCCGCTAGGTCTAAAAGTAAAGGAATTAGCCTTCCTCAAGCCCGACCAAGAATAACCGGCTGGAAATTATTTGTCTCGGGAACCCTCAATAACCGCCAAAGAGACGGTAGAGTCACTCCGGCCTTGCCTTGGCTCTGCCGATGTAAGCCTATGAGGGAAGACGCCTTGGATGAATTATAGTGGTTTCACGCGCCAACGAAACCGCTTCCTCACACCGTCACTAAGCCAACTTTGACCACGATCGCCACACCGAAACTGGCAGAACTCGTAGCGC